TTAAGGAAAAAAGGGAGAAAACTGAAATAAAATCAGAAGTGAATGTGGAAACACTACAACTGATCCCACAGAAATTAAAAGGATTATAAGAAACTACTATGAACAATTAAATGCCAACGAACTGAATAACCTGGAATAAATGGATAAATTCCTAAAAATACACAACCCACCAAAACTGAATCAAGAAAAAGTAGAAAGCTTGAAAAACCAATAATAAATAAGGAGATTAAATCAGTAGTCAAAAACCACCTAACAAAGAAACCACCAGTACCAGACAGTTACACTGGCAACATCTAGCAAACATTTAAAGAATTAATACCAATACTTCTTAAAATCTTCCAAAAATAAAAGAGGAAAAACTTCCAAACTCATTTTATAAGGCCAGCATCACCTTGAATTGTCATTCCTGGCATTTCTCTCAAAGCCAGAAAAGACACACAAGAAAACTAAAGATCATGGTACTGTAGGTTCTGAGGAGTCACCTCAACAAAATGCTGGCAAACTGAATTCAAGAGCACATTAAAAGTTTCATATATCTTGACCAAAATGGATTTATCCCCGGGGTGAAAGGATGGTTCAACATATGTGAATCAATCAATGTGATTCATTACATTAATGAATGATGGATAAAAATTACATGATCATCTTCATAGATGCAGAAAAAACATTTGAAAATCTTCAACACTCTTACATGATAAAAACACTCAACAAACTAGGAACGGAAAGAAATTACCTGAACACATGAAAATCTATGTGCATAAAAAACCCACAGCTGGTATCATACTCAATGACGAAAAACTGAAAGCTTTTCCTCTAGGGTCAGACCAAAGCAAAGATGCCCTCTAATCACTTCTATTCAACACAGTACTAGAAATCCTAGCTAGAGCAATTGGTCAAGAAAAAGAAATAAAAAACATGCAAATCAAACAAAGAAGTAAAATTATCTGTTTCCAGATGATATGATCTTATGTGTAGAAAACCTCAAAGATTCCACAAAAAGACTGTTAAAACTTAAAAAACAAATTCAGCAAAGCTGCAGGATACAAAATTAAAATACATTTCGGGTTTGTTTCTATACACTAACAATGAACATCCAAAAAGAAAATTAAATAAACAATCCCATTTACAATAGCATCGAAAAGAATAAAATACTTAGAAATAAACTTAACCAAGGAGCAAGTTAAGGCAAAAGACTTACAGACCAGAAATTACAAAATACTGATAAAATAAATGAAAGAAATAAATGGAAAACATTCTGTTCATGGACTGATTTAATATTGTTAAAATGCCCATAATATTCATAGTGATCTACATATCAAAATCCAAATGGCATTTTCTGAAGAGGAAAAAAATCCTAAAATTCATATGGAGCCCAAATAGCCAAAAAAAATCTTGAGAAAGAACAAAGCCAGAGGTATCACATTTCCTGACTTCAAAACATATTACAAAGCTATAGTAATACAAATAGTGTGTTGATGTCATCGAGCCAGACATCTGGAGCAATAGAAAATAGAGAGCCCAGAAATAAACCCAGGCATACATGGGCAAACGATCTTCATCAAGAGTGCTGAGTCTACAAAATAGAGAAAGGATTGCCCCTTCTACAAGTGGGTTTGGAAAACTGGATATCCACATGCAAAAGAATGAAACTGTACCCTTATCTTACACCTAACACAAATACTTAAACATAAGACCTGAAAATATAAAACTCCTACAATAAAATACAGGGGTAAAACTTCTTAACACTGGTTTTGGCGATGGATTCTTGGAAACAAAAGCAAAAATAGACAAGCAAGACTACATCAAACTAAAAAGCTTCTCCACAGCAAAGGAAACAATCAATAGAGTCAAAAAGCAACCTGTGGAATGAGAGAAACCATATATACGATAAGGAGTTAATATCCAAAATATATAAGGAACTCCTACAAACTCAACAGCAAAAAAATAAAATAAAATAAAATAACTCAATTAAAAAAGTGGCCAAAAAGCGAGTCGTCATTTCTTCAAAGACATACAAATGATCAACTAATATATGAAAAGATGCTCAGCATCACTAATCATCAGGAAAATGTAAGTGAAACCCACATGAAATATCACCTCACCTCTTAGGATGGTCATAAAAAAAAACAAACAAAAAAACAGGAAATACCAAGTACTGATGAGAATTTGGAGAAAATGAAACTCCTATGTACCGCTGTGGAAATGTGAGATGGTGCAGATATTATGGAAAATACTCTGGAGGTTCCTCAAACATTAAAAATAGAACTACCATATGATCTGGCAATCCCACTTCTGGGTATTTATCCAGAAAGAAAAAAGAAAAAAAAAAAAGGAATCAGGATCTCAAAGAGGTATTTACACTCCAGCACTATTCAAAATATTCACTGCAGCATTATTCAAAATAGCCAAGAGGTGGAAACAACTAAATGTCCACTGATAGACAAATAGTTGAAGAAAATATGGCATAAACATAGAACGGAATATTATTTGGTCTTAAAAAAGAAGAAAAAAATGTTATGTGCTACAATATGGATGAATCTTGAAGATGTTATTCTAAGTAAAATCAGCCAGACACAGAAGGACAAATATTGCATGTTTCTACTTATATAAGGTATCTAAAGTAGTCAATTCATAGAAGAAGAAAGTAGAAGGATGGTTGACAGGGGCCAGGAGAGAGGGGAATGGGGAGTTGCTATCAATGGGTATAGAGTTTCATCATGCAACATAAAAAAGTTCTAGAGATCTATTATTATAGTACTGTGTATATAGTTAATAATACTGTACTGTATACTTGAAAATTTGTTATGATAGATTTTGTTAGTATTTTTAATCACAATTTTTTAAAAGAATGTACTAGAAAAGTTAAGAACATTTTTAAAAATAGCAATAATGGAAGGCTTGCTTCATTAGTAGTTGAAAGTTTTATAAAGCTTCTCTAAGGAAAACCATGTGATCCTTGCGCAAGGATGACAGAAAAATCAGAGGGTAAAAAAGAAAAAACCTAAATACACATAAATAAAAATAAGTATATGTGTCATCCACAATCATTTAGAAAAGAATGGATTATTTGATAAATGAAGATGAGGAAACAGGCTTATCTTTTGGAAAAAAGATTCCAAACTTAAATCATATAATGAAATAAATATAAGATTTTAAAAGGTAGATTAGAAATATACATTTAATTTACAACAGGTAAAAATTTTAGATTGGAAGACAGAATATAGAGAAAAAAAGAGTTTTTCTAGATCTTACTATGTCTAAGTCTTCGTTAACATTAAAGTCAATGAAATTTCCAAACACCAGAGTCTAGGTGAATTTAGAAAATAAACTCTAATACAAATGTAAATATGCTGTTTTTCATTTTCACTAAAACTGCTTTCTTCTAGTCATGAATGCAAATGAAAACTGATTATTCAGAAAAGTAGTGTGATATTATTGCAGGAATAGCAAACTATTTTAAAGTCTTAAGATATGACTTAAGCCCAGCTTTGCCAACACAAATGGCAAAACGAAGCATGTTTCAAGGGATGTCATAAATCCAGGAAGATTAAGATTTTCAAAGAATATATACTGACATGGGAAAAGTTCCATTCATTCAACAAGTAAACACATACGATATTGGCCCCTGGGCTGTGCTAAAGATAAAACAGTAAGCAAGGGAGACAACATCCTTGTCAATCAAGCATCTTACAGGCCAGTGAACAAGGTAAAGATTATAGCAGTGACGCACTTAATATAAGAGATTCAAGGAGCTAGGAAAGCGTATACCAGGGGACCCACCTAGTCTACGAGAGTCAGAGAAGATTTTGTGGGAAAAGTGACATTTTAAGCTCAGATCTGAAACATACATAGGAATTAGCCCAACCACAGTTACAGATTAAGATATAAGCAAACTGAGGACTCGGCACAGAAATGCCAAGAGAGAACATGGGGTGGGGAAGGAGGACACATGGAATTGTAGGCACACTAATTACCTAAATACATCTCACAGAGTAAGACTGGAAGTTCAGAAAAGAGTACATCGGTCCTTAAATTTGGTTACAGAATTAGAATTAGGAGTAATTTCTAGTTCTTTTCTATTTTTCTTTCTTTTCTGTTTCCTAAAGTAATCATATATTATAATTTACTGTTTATTAATAAAAAAAAGTAGTATTAAAATAATATTTTATTACTTACTAGGTTTGGGGAGGAGGCTGTTTTTTGGGTTTTGGTGGGGGAGGGGGTTGGGTTTTTTAATCTTACACAAGTTTCTTAAGACTTAATTCATTCATTTAGAAAATCAGGCTAATAACATGCAACTTCACAGAGTTGCTGATTTGGATCAAATATGGTAACATATGTGCCAGAAAATGATTTTGTGGTTGTGGTTGTTGGACCTCACTCAGCATCAGAGGGACCAGATAAAAAGGCGTTAAGCAGAATTTGGGGGCAGGGAGGTGGCAGCAGGAACTGGTAGTAACTCAGGAGGGTGGAAACGCGCAGCCAGATGAAGCTGGTGAGCCAGCGGGTAACGCGTGCAGCTCTTGTCCTCAGCATCGACTGCAGCCGGTGCCAAGGAATCCTGCTACGTGTTTCTCACTGAGCCTAGACCCCGTCTCGGCATCCTTCTCAACACCGCCCCAGGCGGCCACTCGCATAATGGCATCCTTCGTGAAACTTTTTGCTATCTCCAGCCTCAGAACTCCAAATGAGAACACAATCAATTCTGTAATTCTTTTAAAAGAGGTAGTTCAGTTATAAAACTGTCTTCTTTAATTTATGCTTTAACTTTTTAATGTTCTGTTTTCTCTAAGAAGTGTATCTTATAGAACTTCTAGAGGTTATGATTTAATATTTTGCAAAAGTCTCTGTTATTCATCTATTACACCAGAATAATAATTAAAGGACTATCGCATTTTATAAACATATTTACATATATTTATAAATGGTGATACCAGATACAAATACATCTTTAGACTGTTACTTTTTCACAAAACGGAAAAAAAAAATGAGTTTCTTACCTTTCCTCTGGAGTATCTACATGAAATGTTCTCTCTATAACAGTGGTCCACTGGAGACATCTGATAATAAATGTGTTTGGCTTTGGTCGTTCTGTTTTCATTAACTGGCATTCTAGAAATAAAATAAAATGCCGCTTTGAATATACTTACACTTAAACCAAGAAATTAACAGTTGAGAACTACACAGTTCTATTCTAAACAAGATCACTGCAACCTCACAGCATACTGCAGGTCCCCAACTCAAGGATGAGCACAGCCTGCCTTCAGCATTCCTTTCCAGTCCTTCCCCACCTCGGGCCACATGCTCTCCTAACCAGCCAAACTGGACTACATAACTGTCCCCAAATGTATCCTGCTGCTCTTTCCTTCATCAGTAGTTTTGCTCCAGCCGTTCTTACTGCCTAGAATGCTTTCTATTTACTTTACCCCTGTCCATGTGCAACCACCAATGGTCAAAAGAATACTGTTCGTTAAGGTCCAGATCAAATCCTACTCCTTCCATGAAGCCTTTTATAACAAGCTGGCCCTAGACTGACTATCCCTGCACCCCGCCTGCCATATTCTTCTAACTTATTATTGTATCCCTCATTTTTCACTTAGCACAGACTATCTTATATTATTATCATTTTAAAAAGGTATTCTTATCTCTACCTAGATTATAAGCCTTGTGACAGTACACACTGTCTATAACTCTTAATAATCACAGACCCTAGTGACAGTCAGTGAAATAGTCATAAATTCTGTCAGGGAATATCTAGAAGACTTCCAAGAAAAAGACATTTTAGTGGCTAAAAGCATGGAATCCATTTTTTTCCCTACCGTTAGCTATGCCACCTTGCAAGATAGTTAATCCGTCTGGTCTTCAAGTATTAAATGAGAAACAGTAAGAGTATCTACACCTCAAAATTGGTATGGAGATTAGTAATAAATCAATGTAACATTTACAAAATGTGTGACAAAAAAAGTTTTCAATAAATACTAGCTATTAGCTATTATTATTAAGACTGGACTTATTATTAGGACAGGACCACGTTGGACTTTAAAGGTTACGTGGTATTGGACAGTAAGAGAGAGTAGAGTAGGCTTGTCTACTGACACTGTTCTTTTGGAAAAAAACTAATTTACCCCTAGTTGAAAATTTCAAGTGTTTTCTCAGTGCTTATCTGTTTTGTCCTGTTCTCCACCACTTACAACTATCAACTACCATTTCTGTGTCTTTACAGAGTCACACTGAGCTAGATCTTTACTGACTCTTTGCACTAAAAGAGATCACTCACCCAAGGGTCTCTGTTTCGTTTTCTTCTCTTTTCTAGCAAGCCTTCATGGTTCTGCCATCATCCTTCTGCTTACCAATAACAAAATCCAAACTTCTTTCCATCTTGGATTTCTATTTTATGATACGCATGTCCAACTACACAGTGGATAGTTCTACCTGGTTGAATTACTGGTGCCTCATCTAAAACAAAACTCACTCATCTGTTCCCCTAAATCTGTTCCTACTCCTGGCTTCTTAATTTTTCCATCATCCAGACTGAAAACATGGCATGATCTTTTTTTGAAGTTAGTATCTGCCATTACCTGGTTTTTCCACTCATGCAATTCTCTTCAGACTCCCACTGCCCAACGCCTAAACCCCCGGAGGTGCCATAAACCAGACCTAATCTGACTGTCTTGGAAGCCCACTGTTCTTTCCCATTTACTTCTTCACAAAACTCCTATTAAGTTTCTAGCCAGTGGTTTACTGCACTGTCTTATAGGTGTTTAATGTGTGTTAATTTAATGTCTAGCAGTATAAATTATTTAAAAGTTAGGAATCATGTGCACAAATCTTCCTCACAGTACCTACACCAGTGACAGAACTTATCGGCACAGAGTAAATATTTGATGACTGAGCACCTGACCAACTGGCTTTTAATGTAAAGGATGAAGGACAGACACTTAAAAGAGGGGCAAGGCCAGACGGAAATGCTCAACAATGAAGTATGGAGTAAGGGAACCAGGACGAACAGAAAAGGAAAGAGAGAACCTTCAATCTAAGGTTCATCTATTTCGCTTTGACTTCGGGGTCCCACTGTGATGTCAACGTAACTGAGACAACAGACTTTGAAATTACAACACCAGACAAGTCCAGCCTCCATCACGCCCCATCTGCTCTTTCTCATCTTTAAAAGCACTATCAAGAATTAAAGTTAAACTTTAAAGGAAGCACATACCTAACATGTAAATGCTATAATTTAAGTAACTTCTCAATCTTCTAATTTTAAAAGCTACTTAAAATACTACATGAGATTCCAAGTGATTATCAAGTATAATTTTTAAAATGATAATAAAGGTGATTAATTACCATTTCCCAAGCAGACCACTGAAAAGGAATTGTTTAGAAAAGAATTAAATGTTTGTAATTACATACAGATGGTTTTAGAAAAGATTAAAATAATAATATAATGATCTAAGTAGTTATGCACAACTTCGTTGTTTTGACTAAATATGATAAGTATTCACGGACTCAACTATATACTGAAATGACAGTTATGGGCCAAGCACTATGCAAGATTCTGGGCATAGCACGAAATTCCCCAAGCTTACAGCACATACCAAATTCTATTATTATCATTCCACACATATAATTATAAAGGAATATTTTTCTAATGGTATAAAGGTTTTAATCAGGTCTTCTAGTTCAACAAAAATGTTATACACAATTATGAACAAGTAGTATAAAGATATAAACCTATATTTCATAGGTTTTTGTATGAAATACTCTGTATGTGAATCCAATTCTAAATAATATCCATTACACTGAAACTGTACAAGAGAGAAGCAGCTACCAAAGCTGGCAGGCTATCCAAAAGGTAGCTGGGTCAAAACCAAGAGAACATCCTCCCACAGCATCTCAGGTTCACTGCGATCTACTTGCAAATATACTGAAAGAGCAGAATCTGAAGCCACTACAGTTGAAGTTTCAAAATACCATGTTAAAACAAGTGAGCAAGTAAACAGAAAAACTTTCGGTTCTTTCACGTTAGCTATAATATGGAATCGTGAACACACCCTACACTCTCTGTAAAATGAAGAAAAACAGGCAGGAAAGTTTTCAGAACATGGTTCATGTCTTAAAAACTCTTAAACGGGACTCTTGTTCTTAAAGTGGATGGTGGTAAATAGTCAGTACTTCTTCAGAAAGATATTTCCATTTCAGTTATATAAAGATTCCCAATTCGAGCCTGGCCAGTTTAAGTTTTAAAAATAAAAGTGCAAAGTCCAGGTAGAGATTCTAAAAAGCTATCAATCAAATGATAATCTATGATTTCTGGTACCACTTAATACACATGAAGAAAGCAAGTGTCTTATATAAAATGCTAGGTAACTTTTATTATATCATAACCCTTGAATACTTTTCAGTAAAGTATTTGTTATAGAAGTCTTTAAATTAGATACTTATACTAGTTAAACTCACCTGATCAGGTTAAGCTAAATTTCAAACATTCTGCTTACTTTACACCATTCTGAACACAGGCAATCTAGTTTATTCAAAGCTATAATTTCTCTGTAAACCTGAAAGCCAAAACCTGCGACATGCCAGATCACAAATTATATACTAAAAAGAACTGTTTTGGATATCACGTGTTCAGATTTTATTTAAAAGATTAAACTTTATTTCAACCTCTTTACCCCTTTTAAATACAAATTTTATTTTTTAAAAATAAATTCAACTAACAATGTGAAAAACGAAGGCATAATAATCGGTTCTAATTAAATCACAGAATGAAACAATGCTAACTCTTGAGTTACAACACCCATAAGGAGAGTCTAAGCCCCCAGTTATAATACTATTGTGGATATTCTTTAAAAGGAGAAAATAGCATTTTTTTCTTTTGTTTAAAGTCTTTACAATCCAGAGGCAAAAAGAGAACAGTGCCAGTTGAGCCTTGACACATCAAGCTTAAAGAGGTTCACTCGATCCACTGAGAGGGGTGCCTCAACCGTGGCGGGTGCCTCAAGCGTGGCAGGTGCCCTGCCCCGGGGACAGCAAGTCCAGGATCACTGTGTGGCAGGCACTGCGCTGACTGGTGGTTTCTAAATGTTACTCACTTCCTCTGAAGTACAAATTTAAGAGGTGTTAACGTCATTATTCTCCATTTCATAAGTGAGCTAATAGAGACTGCGACCAGTTAAATAACTTGCCCCAAAGCACACAGCTTGTGACTGTGTATTTACTTCCAGGCCTACGTGATTCAAATTCCATGCTTTTTTGGAGAGAATACACTGCTAGCAAAATTACCTTTAAAAAAATCAGTAATCATCTGTCTTCTCCACCATCCCCGAACCTTCCCTGTGTCTGGCCCTTCTCCCTTCTATGACTTCTTTTCTCCTACAAAGAAATCTGGGATAATTTTCACCTGACGACAACGCTTGAGGAGGCAGAGGGCCCTGATGTGTTTGCCCCTGGCTCCGAACACAGCACAGGGATGGTTAGGGATGAGGATTACGCCCCCGGAGGATCATGATCTGGCACCTTCTGCTTCTCCAAGCAGGAGACAAGGGGGAAGTGGTTTGGAAGGAGGGGCGGAAGGGAAGGGAGAAGGCGGGAGGGAGGCGGCAGAGCCTCTGGGTCCTTGCACCGCTGCGTCCCGTGCCCTGAACCATAAATAAAGCCAATGATAACACAAACTTTCAACTACTAACGATGGGAAAGTGATCCCCAAACTTGCATGGATCCAGCTCTATGTTCTGTGTTATCTGCGTCTGAATCATTTACCTACCACCCAGAATCAACACAGCGTTCTCTGTGTAAATAAACGGGAGAGAAAAGTTCTCACATTTTACTGCATAACAGAAGAAATTCTATAAATAAAGGGAGTAAGATTGGGTTACTAACACTATATTATACTCTTAAAGATGTTTTTCATTTTATGATATATGTTTCAAATTCTGACATTTTAATTATCATAAACTTTACTGCTTTGGTTTTAACACGGGATGCTAATTATGATTTAAACTGAATTTGAAATCATGACATGTTAATGTGAACTTCTAATACATTTTTAATGAATTTGATCATCACAGATACCACCATTTACCAAAAGTACAGTTCAGAGACAACATTCTCCC